ACTGCCTATGACAAGGGCAAAGGCAAGGCAAAGAGCACAAAGGGCTCAAAGAGTGGCAAGGATGATGGAAAGGGAAAGAAAGGGCTAGCTAAAGATGTTTGCAAGCTCTGTGGAGAAAAAGGTCATTTCCTCCAGGTGTCTGACTCCAACAGCACCACACTTCAGGAGCAGCGAGCACTGTGAGCAAGCAGTCAAGTGCCACGAAGAGCGACGCCACTTTCACGACAGGTACTGTTCGAAGGGTGGAGATGTGGGTGATCTTCGAGGAAGACAAAGAAGATGGAAGTGAAGCCAAGTTTGACCACTACATGGACTTGGTGGGAGATGGTTCAAGGCCGTCGGATCGATGCTTCGTGGGAGGTGTTGCACAAGCAGAGGATTGCAGAGTTCCGTGACACAGGTGCAGATGTCTCTGTGCTACCTATGGCCTATGCAGACATAGGGATTCCCTTGACCAGGAAGAGCGTGTTGAGAGATGCCCAAGGAAACATCATGGGGGGCGGCGCGATGCCCCAAGCGTTGATTGTGCTAGAAGGTGAGGATGGTCACCAGGTACAACTTCGAGAGAGTTTTGCTTTGTCGAACGTCTCTGAACCTTTGTTGGCGCTGTTGAGGAAAGGTTGGAAGTTAGAAGGTGAGAATGACAATGTGAGGCTGACGCATGGTCTGTTCCGCAAGCGGCTGGGTTTCAGGCACAACTCGTTGGTCACTGAGGCGAAGATCAGAAACGCCAAGAGGAGAAGCCAAAGAGAGAAGTCAAACAAGCTAAGAGTAGAGAGCAGGTGAGAACTGTCGCAGTGAGGTGGCTGGATGGCATCTGTCACCGAGCAGACGCATCCCTTTCTTGGTGTGTTTGAACAGTAAGCCCAAGAAAGACAGCTACCCACAGTTCAACAGGGTAGGTTTCCCGCGCAGGACAGTTGTGATCAAGAAGGGTAGTTCATGGGAGCTGGTGGAGATTGCAAGCAGGGCGCAGGATGAAGAAGGAATTGAAGAGTGCGAGGAAGAGACCACGGTTGTTTGCTTCTTCCATCAGTCTTCAGATGAATCCATGGACATTGGAACAGTGATCCCTGCAGAAGATTCGATTGCGTTGAGGCCTGAGTTGGGCAAGAGGCCAATGGAAGAGAAAGAGAAAGGTGAGAAGGAAGTCGCAGGTACAAAGCCTTGAGGATGGAGTTTATGAAGAAGAAGATGATGAGGAAGAAATGGGAGAGCAACAAGAAGTTGACGAAGGCGATCCATTCCCACGAGAACCAGGACCTGCATGTTGACGAAGAAATAGAGATTCAGGCTGAAGGAGAAAGCTACAGAAAGACTTCGCCACTCCGAAAGCTACGAGCAGGATTGAAGATGTGCGGTCTTGGCAGAGGCAAGAACAAACAAGAAGCTTGGGCAAAGTTGGTGCATTATTACATTCATTTTGCAGAGAACCTGAGCACCGAGTTGGCAAGGAAAGAATTCCAAAAGAGCAAAGCTGATGAAGGAGAAAGTGCTCGAGGTCAGGTTGTCCCCCGGGTCCCAAGCAAGTCTGAGAGGCAGGCGCATGAGTTGACACGCTGGCCGTACCAAGATTGGTATGAGCATTGCGTTGCAGCAAGAAACAGGATCCACGCTTCAAGGACGAGAACCCTATGAGGCAAGAAGGAAAAGCGGATATGCCTACCATCTCGATGGACTTTTGTTTCACGAAAGGAGAGGATGGGGTTGACGAAGAAACAATGGAAGACTTGAGGATGTATCAAGGAGATCTGATCGTTGGCAGCCTGGGCTACTCCAGAGTGAACTTGAAGGGTGATGGAGAACCCTCAATGAGGATGTTGCTTGACATCATCCACCAGGCCAGGTTGAAACTTGGGTTCCACACAACGTAGAGCTCAGCGGCCCTCATGACTCACAGAGGAATGGAAGAGTTGAACGAGAGATTCAAACTTTCCGAGGTTTGGCAAAGATGTTGGTTAGAGCTGTGAGAGAAGGGTGCCAAGTGAACATCAAGCCATCATCCAGCATTTTCCTATGGGCACTTCGCCATGCAGGATGGTTGTTGACCCACTATAGAAGGAAAGGTGGTGGTCCAACAGCTTATGAGATGAGAAGTGGAAGAAAGTACGGAGGAAAAGTTGCCATGTTTGGAGAACGTGTTTTGGCCAAGGTCAGAGGAGCAAATGGAGACGACAAGTTTGAAGTTGGTTGCTGGCTTGGCAAAACAGATCGAGATGACTTCCACATGGTGGCAACAGCAAAGGGCCTGAAGTGGACTCGCACCATAAGGAGATTGCCGACCCCATTTGATGCCGAGGCACTACACTTTGTGAAGGGGTGGCCATGGGCAATTGGGTTTGGGCAAATTGGCGCAAAGGCTTCGGCTTTGATGGCAAAGTTCCCTTCAGTACCTGTACCACCGGCCGTGGCTCCAGAGATCAGCGCAGAGGAAAGAGAAGAAGCCAGGAAGGAGAGCGACTTCGGGGAGGAAGCCAGCGAGCGTCGAAGGCACGCACATATTTTTCCCTTTGTCCTATTTTGGTAGAGATTTCTGAGCCAGTTTCTGAGCCGTCATTTTTCCTATTCACTTCTTATTTTATTCTTTGTAAGTAATGGGCATCCTTTATCTATTTCTCTTATCTTTTTATCTGATAATTTTATGGAGAGCTTTCTTCTATTTTATTGATAATTTCCTCTCTGTCTCTCTTACAATTCTTTATTCTATTTTCTATTATCATATGATTTGTAGTCTTGAAATTTAAAGGCTGGGAGTTAGTGGGCCATCTATTATTGTATTTTATCATTCTTCTGGAAGCCATCAATCTATTAATATGTAAGCTCTGAATTTAAAATATTTCATTCTTTGGTCTGGGACTCCTTCACCTCCAGTGATCTACGGTGACAACTCATCAAGCATTGCTGCGGCTCAGAAAGAAGGAGTTGGGAAGATCAAGCACTTGTCAGGGAGGTTGCTTTGGCTCCAACAAAGGCAGGGCAAAGATTTGCGTCTTCGCCGAATTGACACATTGACGAATCCTGCAGATTTGGGAACCAAGATCCTTCCAGGAAAGCGTGCAACTTGTTGAGCTTTGAAGACGATGACGGCAAGCTTGGTGTAGAAGAGTTCACAACAGAGAAGGAGAAGCTAGAAGCAAAACAGAGGTTGAAGGTGGTAAGAAGGATGGTTGGAGAAGAAGAGAGCATTCCACACAGTTCGACAGCAGCAAGCCAGATTGCAAAGAAGTTGACAAGGTTGACACTGGGTGCATTGCTGGCAGATGTAGCCTTGAGTCAGGCTCGGGACGAAGGTGAAGGAAAGCAATGCCCAGCATACAAAGCAGTAGGGGTGAAGTGATCAGACTTGAGGTGATCATCATGATCCTTTGTTTAATCATTCTTGCATTGACTGCTGGCGTGCGCATGTTGTCAGGAAATTCCCTGGAAGATGGCAAAGGAATTCTCACAACATCGAAACTCGTGGGACTACGTGAGGAGCTCCATGAGATGGAACAGCGAAGAGAGGAGGAGGTATGGTGAAGTTGCCGATGACGGGGGTGAGAGCGATTCAGGTTATGGGTGCACGAACCTCCCAGACATCAGCCCAAATGCTGATTGGATGCAACGAGGCTGGGTGAATTACGCAGGAAGCTCAGGACTCCCGTTCAATCAAGTTGTGACGACTATGCCCCCGCATGCAAGAGGATGGAATGAAAGTTGGGAAGAAGAGGAAGAAGTGCAACAAGACGAAGATCCACCAGGATTACATGAAGTTGGACAGCTTCACGCACGTATTAGAATGGTGAGGCTCGAAGACGAAGAGGAGGAAGAACATGAAGCTGAAGAAGAAGAGGCAGAGCTAGCAAGAGGATCACAAGATCCGCAACCAGTACAAGGTCCAGATGACGGTCCAGTTGTGGAGAGAAGAACTTTCAACTCAGTGCAGCCTTTCTTGGGAGGCAGCAAGATGAGCAAGGTGGTGAAGTTGAGTCGAATGAGACTTACAGTACATCCCATCGGAAGCCCCAACGGACTATGGTAGTCTGGAAGGAAGCTATGAGTATGATTGGCATTATATGCATTTGATTGATCCCGAGTATGAAGACTATAGGTACGAATTGATCAAAGAAGGAACTGGCATTGAAACTCACTTGATGGAGAAACTTCGTGTTTTCCGCCAGATGAAGGAGGAAGACCCTAGCGATGAATCACTCAAAGATGCCATTGAGACATTCGTGAAGTTCGTGAAGTGCTAACGGGACATCCAGACTGGAGGACCAAGAGAGGGGAAGAGAGTGATTAACTATCTCTGGACGATGAGGCAGTACATTTACCATATCAGAGAAGGCCACGAAGACCGGTAGAAGAGTCAAGATGGCCAGATGGATGGGTAAGTGTGAACTATGGTCCAGAAGGAGTACCACATAGAGTTGGGTACAGATGACCCAATGATCTAACAGAGAGAGAGAGAGAGACAACACTGAAGAAGATGACTTTGAAGACTATGAGGTTGAAAGCCCAAGAACAAGTCCAAGCCGCAGCAATCAGAAGGGAGTGAAAGGAGAAGGCAAGTCGAAGTCGAAAGAAGAAGAAGAAGAAGAAGAATGGCAAGTAGCTCAAGAGAGGAAAGGAAAGGGCAAAGGCTCGAAAGATGCCAAGGGCTATGGAAAGCCAAGGACGAAAGATGATGGAGAGACAGATGAAGATGGAGGTGCAAGTGGAGGCAGGGCCAAGGGCAAGACAAAGCCGTGGCTTTGTGGAAGTTGAATTCAGAATTTTCACAGAAGGTGTTGAAATCACCAGGAGTGTAGATTAAGAGTGACTGAGTAGGGCCACGTTCCCGAAGGAGTCGCTTGGCATCAGAAGATGACAAACGAAGGCAGGGTGTCATACAGTCACCATGCAGTCGTACATGTCATGTCAGGACATACCACACTGA